CATATGATGCTATCAGGTGAGTGCACACATTTACAACTTTTTGCCCAAATATTTTGCTATGAATCCTCCCTAGGTCCAAGTTGATTATAATCCTTCCGAATTTCCCTAACAGGAACTGTTCAAGAAGAAAAGTGCAAGAAAAAATATTGAAGCTCTTGGGACCATGCTTCGTACACACTGGTAAAATAAATACCGCTTGCAAAGGCTACGTGTGATACAGAACTTATTTGTAGATTTCCTCTGTCGTGTGACCTTTGGTCTCCTCACAAAATTACATTCAACATTTTCCTTCTACCTTTGCTCTCAGTTGGCTGCGAGGTTACTAGGTTTATTTGCCCTGACAATCTAGCACAGCAAGATTACTTGAAATTCTCACTACAGCGCTTCACAGTCAATTGAGAGAGCATGGTTTGACTTCCAAAACACTTCAACTTTTTCCCACATGTTTTGGCTGACATGTAGAATCATGGACAATCATGGACAATAAACATCCAATAAGAGAAAAAGGACAAAAATATTGATGAATTACGTAAAATTAGGAAGACACTCAGTTATGTAATACATTGTTCTGAAGGATGTTGTAAATAGGGAAATCCAAGGAAGAATTAGCAAAACCTCTATCTACATACTTAAATGGCTTCTTCCAGATGACACATTACTGATTACCGTTGGGTTATCAGTCACACCAAAGAGCACAGCAACACCTAATTGATGAGATTGACCCTCTAACTTTAACTCTCAGGGACAATGATCCACATCGTCAAAATACTATAATGGAGGGAGATGGAAAACAATCTGAAATATAATAATTTTAAAAAGTACCAAAAATAGGCAAATAGGCAAAGTAAGAATAAAAATCACTTAATAAATGATGCGAAAAGAAAATTGAAAGAACAAAATGTAATACACATGATGTATAAATTAAAAAGGTAATGGAAAAAGAAAGAAAACACAAAGTTGTTTTTTTCTAAATTCCCGCTCGGTCTTGCTATCCTTATGTTTTTCCAAGTGACAATTTATAAATTTCCATGTGTGACATTGGAAAACTACATCCATGGATAGTGATGTAATTTACTAGTCTGAGATAGAATAGCAGTGTGCTCCAATCTAATTTCGATAAACCAAGTGTGATTTGTCTAGTATTAATATCTTAGAAAAACATTTAATTTTATTTTACCACCGTCTTCAGTCTTAATCTTTTTTCAGTTACTTGCATTCTGTATCACTGTATATCCTCTGATCTCAAACAGAACATCTACTGCACTGCTAATTATGTTCAGTGGCGTGGATTCAACTACCCGTCTTAGCAAACTTTTCCAGTTAATTACGTATTTGGTAAAGAAGATCGTTTTATCTTCTGTCCTGAATTTGCTCTATACAACACTAAACCTGGCTTCCTCTTGTTTCTTTGTTTTGATGCATCCTAAAGTATTTTTTCAATCACATTTAAAATATTATATATCTTTATGAGGTCTCCCCTAAGTAATCTGCCCTCAAAACTGAAAAGCCCTAGCTTGTCTAGACATGTTCATAGCTATTGCTCTAACACTGGGGACTGGCTGCAAGAGCCTCGAGAGCCTGAACAGCCTCTTATATAGTGGTACCCACAACTGTATGCAGTACTCAAGATACAACCTGACCAGAGCACTGTATAGCCTGAGTATGATGCCTGGGAATCTAAACTTAACTGATTTAACAATATAGTATCCTGTTTGCCTTGTTAATTGCTGCCTCACACTGTTTTGACACAGTGAGCAACGTGTCATGTCAGATGGAGCTCAATGTAGGGAATTCCAAGTTCATCCACTATAGACTGAAAAAAGATAGGAAAATACTTTCTTAATAGGGAGAAATTAAGAGCTGTGGAAGAGCAAAACAATTTGAGTGTCTATATCCACAAATCACTAAAAACTAGTTCCAAGTGCAAAACATAATCAAAAAGGCAAATGGCATGTTGGCCTTTATCTCGAGAGGCCTGGAAGACAAAGGGAAGAAATGATGCTTCAGCTGTATAGCGTGTTAGTCAGACCCCACCTGGAGTACTGTGTTCAGTCTTGGGCACCACACCACAGGAAAGATATATTGGCCTTGTAGGGGTTGCAGCGCAGGTTCATCAGAATGTTACCAGGCCAAAAAGGGTTAAGTTATAAGGAAAGGCTGCGTAAACTTGGATTGTATTCCCTCAAGTTTAGAAGATTGAGGGGTGATTTGATAGAGGTTTTTAGGATGATAAAGGGATTTGATAGGGTAGATGCAGAAAAGCTATTTCCTATGTTGGGGGAATGCAAAACAAAGGGGCATAGTCTTACAATTAGAACCAGACCATTTAAGAGTGAAATTAGGAAGCATTTTTTCACTCAAAGAGTGGTAGAAATCTGGAACTCTCTCCCCCAAAAGTTTGTGGATGCTGGATTCATCCACACCTTCAAGAAAGAGATTGACAGATTTTCAGTAGGTCGGGGTATTAAGGGATATGGGGAGAAAGCGGGAAATTGGATTTGAAATTGTAGTAAAGATATAGATCAGCCATGATCGAATTAAACAGCGGAACAGGCTCGATGGGCTGAACGGCCTACTCCTGTTCCTATGTCAACTAATACCCATAGATCTCTTTCAGTTTTCCCCTTAGCAAGTTCAATGTCATCCATGGAGTACTTGTGGTTTCCTATATTGGAACTATATTTAGGACATTGCCAGGAAACAGTCATTTGCAAAATTAACTATCTTACACTGGGTCTGCAAATCCAGGTCATTACTATATACTATGGACCCCCAAGGTACCAAGCTTAATATCTCACCCGATTTTTACCTAGTTCACCTTACGAAAACCCTTTGCTTCCTTCCCTTCAGCCAATTCTAAATACATGTGTTGTCCATCTATTTGCCCACAAACACATGGTCACTGCATTTTAGTGTAAATCCTGTGAAGTGCTTTCGGACTTCCTCCTAACATCAAAGGCGATAACGATTATTATTATATCCATTTTTGGTATGGCTCTCCATTCAATTCATACTTGTCAAACATGAAATTTGAATAAAATGTCATAAGTGTCAAGAGACCTAATTTGGAGCCATACAGTGTTTCTGATTAGATTTTGCCAGCTGCAAATGGAAAAGACAGCACAGTACCCTGGCAGTGTTGGTTTTGGTTCTTTCACTGAAGAAGTTATGGAATTCTGTCAAAGATAAACACTTTGCACACATAGGTAAAAATTGTGATGCTGTGATGTAATTAACACCAGTGGTGCTAATTAACACTTGCACTACATTTAGCAATCTTATGATAATTAATTCACTGGCTGATAGTCATGTATCCCAGACATATCCCTTCCCCTGATATCCTTCTCAGTGGCTATGCCTTCCCTCCCCCTGACCATTTCCCCCCTCCTCGCTCCCTCCCTTCCCTCCCCTCACCCTGACCATTTCCCCCCTCCTCGCTCCCTCCCTTCCCTCCCCTCACCCTGACCATTTCCCCCTGCTCGGGTCATGACCCAACTGTGCAGCGCCTTGGGACGTCCTCCTGACGTGAAAGGCGCTTTATAAATGGAATCTTGTTGTTGTTGTTGTTGTATGCCGAGCAGTCAATATGCATTTGATTCCAAATTAATGTAAAAAACAATTCAACGAGACTAAAAAAAATCAAAGTAATGTCACTAGGTCGCTAAATGAAACTGCAATGCCCAAATACCCCAAAGCCACTAAATTCAATGCTTAAGCTAATTAGCACTATACGTGTTAATTATCACATCACAAAACACTTCACTAATTATTTTCCTGGTTCCTATGCAGAGGCACCAAACTAATATCACGCAACAATGTTAATAGGGAGCCACACACTTATAATTTCGTTCAAGAGGTATAATGAGTTATTTTACTCATCATCTTTTTAAGGATAATTAACACCACAATTACAATGTTTAAGACAAATTTCCCATACAGACTTTTATATCTGTAAAGAATCTGCAGACCATTTTTATACTAAAATCTTTCATTAACATAACATAACAGGAGTAGGCCATTCGGCCCTTCGAGCTTGCCCTGCCATTCAATCATGGCTGATCTTCTAATCTAACTCCAGCTAATAACCTGACCCTGCCTTATCCCCATATCCCTTAATCCCTTTTGCAATAAGAAATCTATCTCAGTCTTGAATATGTTCAAGGTCTGAGCGTCAACAGCCCTTTGGGGTAGTGAGTTCCATACATTCACCACCCTTTTAGCCCTTTTTATACCTATGGACTCAGTTTGGCAGGGAGCATAAATGGTAACAGCTGCATTAATTTAGAACAGTGTTCACCAGTATTTGACAGATATTATACTCACTTTAAATGGGTGTTCATGCATTTAGATCTGCAATGATGCTTTCACTACAATCATTTAGACAAATATCAACCAATGGCAGTAACTACATATGGCAAGACAAACACAAAACATATTTATAACAGTGGAGGGTAAGAAATGCGTATGAGAAGCTGTGCTAATCCAATTTAACTGGTATTCAATTCTCATCTTTAACATTACACCAATAACCTGGAGAATTCCCTTAAGAATTTGAAGAAAGCATTTATACACAACTGCGATTCCTTAAACTGCTCATGGTCTTAGCCTTAAGACTGCTCTCTTCAATTTTAAGATTGTGCTTTTTAAGTTGGGAACTGCATCTCCAAAGTTCTTTCTGGGTATTGTTTGAAACCAGCTTTGAAATTAACACTGAATTAAGTAAATTCCCAAATTCCATACTACCTTAAATTTTATGACAATAGTTGTAAAACTAATATCATGCAAAACTTTGGACCTCAGAGAGTTGCACAGTGGGCAATACATTTTAGAGGTAATACTATGTTTAATAACATGAAAATGTGTTTTATTAACAAAAAAAGAAAGCAAACAAATGGAAATATTATTATTCAAATTCATACTCTGCCTGTCATTACCACCAAAGCACAAAATACTACACTTTCCATTGATAAACGGTTAGTGAAGACTCAGTGAAGCCATACCTTTCTTTTCATTTTTTCCTTCCACTGTGGATGAGCAGGGACACCGTCCTTCACATGTGACTGAGATCTGTTTGCCTGACATGCACGCTTGATATTCTAGTTTGCACTGTGGAAAAGAAAAGAAATAGATTCTTACAAATATATGCTTAAAAGTATTCACAAACATTTGGTGGCAATTGCTTGAATTGCTGCCTTTCACCACCAAACATGCAATATCAGCTCCGCATTTAGATAACTTACACACGTTCACACCTTCATGTACTTTTACAACCTGTGCAATAATACTCCTTTTATTTAACCACAATTTTCTGTGAAATGATAGTGTAGTACATGTAGTGTAGAATGTTTTGCAATGCCACACCACATTTACAGCACTAATTTTCTCATGCCGAGTTTATAGCCTTCATTTTCTCATGCTGAACGATATAGTGCTGAATTGGAGAAATGTACCAATTATTGGTCTAACCAAGTGTGGTCTAACCAAGGATCTATAGAGGTTATGGTAAACCTCAATAGAACATTGGTTAGACCAGACTTAGAATACTGTGCAGTTCTGGTCCCCACATTATAGAAGGATGTAGAGGCACTGGAGAGGATGTAAAGGAGATTCACAAGGATGAACCCAGAACCGAGAGGTTATACCTATCAGGAAAGGCTGAGCATACATGGACTCTTTTCTCTTGAAAAGATGAGGGTAAGGGATGATCTGATAGAGGTCTTTAAAATGATGAAAGGTTTTGATAGAGTCGACATACGGAAGATGTTTCCATGTTGGGGGAGACCAAACCCAGGAGCCATCAATATAAAATAGTCACAAACAGATTGAATAGGGAAGTTAGAAGAAATGTCTTCACACAAAGAGTAGTGGGAATGTGGAATATGCTACCACAAGGAGTTGTTGAGACAAATAGCAGAGATGTATTTAAGGGGAAGCTAGATAAGTACATGAGGGAGAAAGGAATAGAAGGTTATGCTTGAAGGCTTAGTTGAGGAACGTCAGGAGGAGGTTCATGTGGAATATAAACACCGGCATAGACCAATTGGGCTGAATGGCCTGTTTTTGTGCTATATATTACAATGTGATTCAAAAAAATCTTTATTCAAAATAGTCAAGGTCTTCCTTTCAAAAAAATTCTGACACAGAAATACTACTTGTAGATGTCAAAATATCATTTCTATTCAATGGGTGAGAACCTTTTCTTGCTGCAAAATGCAGTTATTTTGCTGATACAGTTATTGTGAGCATGGGCTGATTTAAACTGAATTAAGAATATACCTAATATGTTCGAAATGTGACTTGTACTAACAGCAGCATACTGAGATCAAAATGATTGAAAGTTAACAGTAAAATAACCTTTTGATATTGAGGTAGCTGCAGATCATCCAGAACTCCGCAGCTCATGTACTCTCGTGCACCAGGCTCCGTGACCCCATCACTCCCACCCTCGCCCAACTCCACTGGCTCCCCCTCTCTCAGAGATCGAGTTCAAGATCCTCATCCTCACCTTTAAGGTCATCCATGGCCTTGCCCTCTCCTACCTCTCTGACCTGCTGACTCCCTACCAACCTGCCCACTCCCTCCGTTCATCCAGCTCCATGTCTCCCGCCCCACCTTACCATCAGGCTTTTAGCCTCTCTGCCCCCACATTCTGGAACTCCATCCTTCGCCTTGCTTCCTCCCTTGGCTCCTTCAAGGCCGGTCTCAAGACCCTTCTCTTCGACTGTGCCTTTGGTGGCCCTTCCACCTCTCTGCCTTCCCTCACCCCTACACCACCCCTCCCCCGTCCTGACCCCTGACTGTTCAGCGCTTTGGGATGTCCTCCTGATGTGAAGGGGGCTCTATAAATGTAATTTTGTTGTTGTTGTTGAGGTACTGTACCACCATGCAAATTTGGACCCATCTTGAAATGTTACGGCAAGGTCAAGAGTGCACGTATACTTCAACTGCGGAACGGAAATGTAGTACTAGCAAGTTAATGCTTACATCTGGGGTGGGGCGGGGTGGGGGAATGGAATTATGGTGAAAGGGTAAATTTGCTGCTCAATTAAATGACTTGGTCCCTATTCACCAACTCTATTCAGGGAACACAAGTGTTAGATACAGCCTTTCTTAAAAACTGTGCACCCCTGCCCTTGGTTTAAGGGGCTAGCTGGCAAGGCTAGACTCGACACATTGGTGGATCTGCAAACTCGCAAACCAAAAGGAATTTTTCAGAAATATCTGCAATCCTGGCTCCTGTGTTGCCAATGGGTCGAATGCTAAAGATTTTTCTGGAAGGGATGAGCTCTCAGTGGAAGATCTGGTCAGATGGTGGTTATAAGCTCTTTGTGAGTGGGCTGATGTCTGCTTCTGGGTTAAAAGTAAGCGATCTGATCATGGAAATCCTTGGTTGCAGACCCTCGTGTGAGTGCAGTCATTCACTGCAGTGGAAGTCAGAATGTGCTTGGCTAATCTTATCTAGGCACAGCTATTCTATAGAGAAAGTACCTTGTGGGATCCGTGAATATTCTTCAGAAACTGCATGCAGCTGAAAGCAGGAGGACCCTGATGACCTTGGGCACTTCCCTGGATGGCCTCACACAAAGGAACTGCACAACTTACCAGAGGCATCACTATTAAACAATTAGTTATTTTGCACCAACTGTATAAAACCAGTTGGGTAAGCATCATTTCATATTAAATTTACAGTGTAAAATCACATTCAGTGCCTCACCACATGTCCAGTACATCACTGGTACATCCACTGCCTTGCCCACATCCACTACGTTGCCCATAACACTGCCTTACCACATCCAGTACCTTGTCCACTTCTACTGTCTACCCGATTATTTTGTAACTGTCCTACATGATCATCTTGAAATCATTCCTCGGGTAGTATATTGCTATATCACCACCGTGAAGAGGAATCAAATAGAAAATGTGCTACAGTTCAAATGTGGAAGACTGTCTATATTTCAATGTCATTGCAGCAAAGAAATCTGATCGGAAAGCTTATTGTGAATGAGACACCTCACAAAACAGGATACTGTTGAATATTCATGTTTGGCCACTAAGAAAGTGCTGTTTAAAATGGAACAATGTTACCTAGTGGGGAATGTTATTAACAGACAATACAGCTTTGCCAATCAATACTGCTCAGACCATACACTATTGCTGCAAGGTTACTTATCAACATTTTGCCTGACATCCAGGAGTTGATGGACATGCCATACTTTAAGCCTTTCCCACTAGGCTGGAAGAGATCAAGCTCATTGTTCATCTACACAATAAAAGCTTGTATTTATATAGCACCCTTCACATAGAGAGTAACCCCTCAGAGGACTTTAGAGAGATTTTGCTGTACACCTAGCTGGGAAGGGGGAAAGGGAGGGGGAAGGAGGAGGAGGGAGGTGACCTTAGGCACAATCAAAAAGATAGGGTTTTAGGTGGTTTTGAAGATAAAGAGTGGGGTGATACAGAGTGGATAAAGGAGGAAGTTCAGCAGAGGTTGAAGGTCCTAGCAAATTCTTATGTTCTTGTTATATCTCTGGATACGATCGCCAGAATTGTGGAAAGCGAACTGGATAGACCTTGGTCTTCTTTTGCCAAGCAAATTCTTATGATCGTATGTCCTTATATTCAGCTACAGATGGTATGACAGAGTGGGGTGGGGTGGGGAGGGCAACGTGCAGCAAGCCCAAGTTTACCAAGGGGAACAGATGAGCATAATGAGACTGGAAAAGAGGCTACAACTAGCAACTGGACAGCTACATTAAATCAGTACCCAGAAAATACGTCTTTATGATTTTGTTTACGATAATGACTCATGGCCATTTGTAAGATGGAAGGAACTGTATCATTTGTTTATTAAAAAAAACCCTCAAACTTCCCAAACCCTTGTTATTTATAATTTATAACATTGAATCAACTTCATCTTTCTTCCATTTTGGCTGTTCTAGTTTAGACCGTGATCAAGAAGCAGAAAAACTTCAAAGTTTTCTAAAGTACAATGGAAATTTTCTAACACTTCCTTAACTTTTAGCATATATACATGCATGTATATAGAGCCCCTCACACAGTGTAGCATCTTGAAGTGTTTAAATATGTATTTTAAAAAATCCAAAGCAGATTGTAAACCATCCTAGTTGAACCCAAAGGAACTAATCAGTGATTAGCACTGTTCTTAGTTTGGGCTCAAAGATATTAACTTCAGTGCTACCACACCCTTCAGACAAATCTACTGCATGGTCAAGTTTTTAGAATCAATAAATGGAAGCTGATCAATATTGAAAGCAATTCTTTGCAATGCTTCATTTTGCAGCTTGCACTCATCTACATTTTCTCTGGCCTGAAGATAGCTACTACTCAGTTAAAATCATGTTATATGAGATTGAAATGTATAGTGGTTTTGTTTCACACAAAATTGCTTCATTGTCGAATGAGCTGGGCAGCATTTACTGATCATAGTCTCAAATATTATATGGACATGCAACCATAATCTTTCATTACAGCATATTTAGCAATGAAAATATATCATATTGGTATCTTAACTATTAGTGCCACTGTGAATGAGTATATTTTTCTGCATGATAGGGCATCAGATTCACGGTTGACTATGCTTGTTCAAGACTTCACCCCTCTTATATCTTAATCTTATTGCTGAAATTGACAAGAGTTCCATCTAATAATGGGCCTGCCATTTTCTTAAGTGTTTTAGGTTTTCATTGAATGTCTTTCCAAGGTGGTTTTGAACTTCTCAAAAAAATAAAGATCACTTTTAAAAATAGTTCTTACCACCTTTCAAAACAGACAGCGGATGAAAGAAAAATAAGTCCAAGGTTTGAGGTAAAAAAAACAAGTGGAAAAGATTAGAATAGGTTAGAAAATGGCAAAAATATTAAAAAGGACAAAGATAATATGAGAGGAAATAGAAGCGAGAGGTAACGTTTTTAAAGTAGTTTACTTTCAATGTTGCATTTTTATTTAATATTGTGTGCTGTGATTGATAGATGTTATAATAGTAAAGCTATCCTGAAATTTGAGTGGCTTCATTATTGTAATACTGTTGTTTTTTCAGAAAAAATAAGTAATAATGATGAGCAAAAAAGGTTGGTGCAACAGATAGGAGTTTCTATTGTCTTTTGCACCCTTAGAGTTAATTTCTTGAAAGGATCAAGTTCGCTATAAAAGGTCCAGTTCTTAAATTAGTGGCCAGATAATTGAGGTTGCTAAAATAAATGAAATAATTTCTTCAGTAAACCAATAATGGAAAACTTATCTTCAGCCTTCATTTCTCAAATGGAGACAAATGCCTTTTGAAAGCTTCTTTTTGTAATTTAGTGTGTATATAGAACATCAACAACAACAACATAAGATTACATTTGTATAGCAGAAACAAAACAAAATTGTGACCAATAAACCAATTCCAGAAGGGCGGTCTGATTGACATTAATTGCTTAGAATTATTATATTTCTGAACAGTCACATCTATCTAGTTGTCAAAATTCATGCTATAATGGGTGTCTAATTGTCACTGGTCATACAGCATCTTAGAAGATGAATCACCGTATGTCTCATTAACATTTTAAAGGTTTGACAAAAAGATTGCCCTTTTCTCAATCAGTTTAACACAGAGCTCACTGTCCAGGCTAAAAAGTGAAGAATGGTCACCTGGGTGAGGAACTAGAAGGCAATAATATTGGACTCCAGAATAAATTAATGGAGAAGTGGGTCTCTCATTCATTCTCACCAATGATCTGTTTTTAAGAAACATATTGCTGATGTTGGTGGTCAGTATGTGATAAAACCCAAGAAAAAAACAAACTAATGTAAATGTTTATGAATAAAAAATGCTTAACTTTATTTCCAGCTTCTCCAACATTACAACTGGGTCCAGGTTGAAAGCATGACCAGGAAAACATGGTGGTTCCATCTTTAATGCTTGTCTGGAACCGATGAGTGGGAAATTGTGCAATCATGATGTAAATTAATATGGTGCTCTGATTTTCTTAGGGCAACCATAGAACCATAGAAATTTATGGCACAAAAGTATTTGTGCCAGCTCCTTCAAGAGCAATCCTTTCAGTTCCACTTATCTGACCTTTCCCCACACCCTTGTAGGTTACTCTTTTTAAGGAATTTGTCCAATTGCCTCTTGCAGGCCAATATAGATTTTGCTCTTGGCAGGGCAATGCATATCCTAACTACTCTGAGTGTGATTTTTTTCCCCCAACCTTGTCAGTTCCAGAGTATAACTTCAGTTTTGCCTTCATTAATAATACTATACATATTAAATCTACAATCAAAAATTATAAAGGTTAGTGAAAACAATTCTCAGAAGAACTCAAAAATCTTCTTTTTTTCTCATCAGCACATCCTTACCAGAGAAGAGTATGTGTGGCCATCAGTTCCACATACAAGAGTAGGATGAACCACCGGGCAGGGCTTGCAATTTGCTGAATTGGATCCTCCTTTCCGCTGCTTGTGGGAAAGGCTGGTTTCTTTCATACTAAACAGTGACAAGGAAAACAACACAAATTGTGATATTATCCCCACAATCCTTTTCCCAGGTTTGTAATATTACAGAGAAGAATGACCAAATCAAGTGAATGATTCAGTGATTATGAGATTAGATTCATGAATAATGAATTTCATGGACTAACCCATCAAGTGTATATATAATAAATATACTTTTAGAAAAGTGCAACATATGGATACTTTTTGTTTAATGGATTTTGACAAATTAATATAATACTTTTTCATGTTTTGTTTCACATCTTACTCTAGATGAGTTACTGTAAAACAAATATCACTTTGTTGAAGCTTAGACTGAAAACAAGCCATGTCTTCAAATCTTCCTTTTTTTAAAATAAGCAAACTAATACAAATAACTTCTGGAATTTCAATTGCCTGCAAATGTATTTTGTTCATTCCCTGAATAGATTAAACAAGGCATTTTGTTTCATGGGGGAAACACATCTGAATTTTGACTAAGACAAGCTGTGATTAATATTAATCTTTTATATTCAAATGTATAAATAATGAAATGGCTCCTCCATAGCCCAAAGCATCATTCTGGCATTTTCCTTTTGCCTCTTAGCTGAGAAATGAAATGGCATGTACAACTTCTGTGGGACGCTAGAGGTCAGTTATTACAGGACATCTTTGACACTAAGTACAATTTCTCATTACTTTATGACCAATGTCACTTGTTTAGCATTTACGTTTCTTATTATACATCTTTATTTACATCAACTGGAGTATTAACATCAAGAGACATTGTCCCTGATGACAAAACAAGAATAATTAATCCATGCTGAACAAACTGGATTAGAAACATGACTTCAAATTGCATCATTTAATGTTTCTGATATTAAATACATTTTTAAGTGTTTAATATTTTAATGCACATCCACAGACTGCTCGAGCTCGATGTAGGGAACACTGTCTGAGATACGCTATATACGATAGTACTTCTGACAATGTCTATGGCGTAGGCATTAGTAGTGAAATGTCATACTCCTTTTTGGTAAATATTGGTAACAAATGCCCTCGATGGAATTTTACTTCAGCCCTATTATGACATGGATTCACAGACATTTTCTCTAACGTCTAATCTTTGGCACTTCTCATACACATTATTTGTAAAATGTACTTTTTTCAAAGTGCTATGATATAACTTTATTTAATTCCCGGTAGTAAAAACATTTTTCTCTAATTGGTACTTGTTCATTCTGGGGCGACCCTATTAGAAAGCCCCCCTCGAGAGCGTGACTCACTTATAATGTGAATCGCCTGTTATAATGTGAGTTACTGTTCGTGAGGTTTATTTCTGGCGCAGACTGACCGGCCTCTTGAATGCTGCTCACAAGAACAGAAAACCAAGATTCCATCTAAATACTTGTGTTTATTTGATATTTGATATGCTGTTGATCTACATGGGGATGAAACTGTGATATAATATCATATTGAAAACTGACTTTGGCATGACTGTTTGGTCTGATGCAAACCCCAAACACTGATGGTTGTCATTAAAATGCTGCATGCTGCCCATGGAGATGAGCTTTTCAGTACTTGCACTAAAATACATGAGATATTGCCATTAAAATACTGAGCTCAGCAATTGGCAACAATGACAGCCGGCAGAGATCTCAGATTGGCTTCAGACACAGAAGCTATAAATGTTTCTTACACTCTTGGATTAAGCTATGAGCAACTTCAAAGTCCTTAAATGTTTCTTAATTTATATTCAACAACTTTCACTTACAAAGTACCATTCACAAAGGCTGAAAGCACTCTGCTCAGGTTTCTACAAAGGAAAGTCATCAAGGAAAAAAGGAAAAATGTGCAGCACACAACAAAGACCTGATCATGAACTGGGAGCACCAAACATCAGCTCCTCTGAAACCAGTAATGCAATTTTAAATGGCAGTAATCCTTATAAGCCATACTCAACATCAATGGTTCTGAATTCATAGTCTTCAGCCAAGAGTTTTGGATGCTTGTCCAAAGGCATGTGCCAGTAACTGCCATTTTCTTCATTGTTTCCCATTCATTCAATTGAAATGTGGCCGCCCACAACAGCACTACCTCAGATTACACAAATACTGTATTGCAACCTCAGGTTCAAATCCTGCTTCTGAAACAAAAAATTACATTCCTCGCCTATGATCGGAACACTGCACTACTGAGGAATGAAAAACTATTCTGGGTTTTACCCTACTGCACACTCCCCTACAAGTGACCATTTGCTCATTTTTACTGATTACACTGAATGTTCAGAACGCTTTTGTTCCTCAAGTCTCTGGCATTCCCTCTCCACTACACACATTTACACTGATGCAGAACAGAACCTCTTGATTCCTGCCTGATGATATCTCTTTGCCCACCACCATGCTCATTGCCAATTGCCTTCAATATTTCAAACCTTGTATAGTTTCCCACTTTTAAAGTCCTGTAGCAACCTCTCCACTGTTACTGCATTTTTGTTTAACTATCTGCTACTTCTCCCTTTGGGAAGATAATACACTGTGACAATCCCCTTTTATTTCACAGCAGGGACTTCCCTTCCCAGTCAGGCTCAAAAACTAAATTCAGGTAAAAAACACTTTCAAAGTAGACTTCAAATAATGTAATGCAAGAGAACTTTGATCCAAATCATCCATACTATGTGCATTTATTTCAAATCAAATGTTTCAAATTCCTCACTTAGTTTGGATATTTTACATTTAACAGGCAATCAAACAGAAATAATCATATAACAACAATCCTTGCATTTGATATAGCGCTTTATCACATCATGCAAACGTCTCAAAGTACAATTTTTATCTGGAGAATTGTTGACTAGGACAACAGGAGAAACTTCCTTCACTTTCAATAGTGTCATGGAATCGTTAATAAATGGTTAATAAATTTAACTTTAACATCCATCGGAACAATCAGATGGGACTTTGAATTATTATCTTATCTGAATGACAGCACCTGTGACAAAACAGCACTTCCCTGGAGTGTCAGTTTAGATTATGACCCAAACATCCTGAAGTGGAGCCTCAAAACACGACCTTCTGACTAAAGCATGAGAGTGCTACTAACCATGCCAAACAACAGTCATACTTTCAGTCATAGTCTGCAGCAAGCTCAGCACAAGCTTAACTAAAAAAAAGACAGTAAAACTGGGATGTACAAAACAGCTCTTTAATTAACAACTGAGCAGATTTGCCAACAATCTAATAACTGACATTGTTATTAATTAACACATCTCAGTTTACAATTTTCACCCCACTGAAAGACTTAGTATAGTTCAGGTGTTATCCCAAACTACTAAATACAATTCTTCAGAATTGTAGTAATACTTGAGGGTTTTTTTCAGTTCAGGAAGAAGCTGAAGAAGTGATGAATGACCTTTGTATTTTCAGTTGTTGTACATTACTGAAGAAAAGAGGTTAACAATAACTCATTGGCAAAAATCCTATATGTAATTGTACTACAAAAGTATGACCTGCCATTTCAAGGCATTTGATAATACATCACTGCAAGAGAAAGAGAAAGTCGCCTCATAGCTGCTATGTAGACATTTTGTTTTTACCATTTCCTTTTACCAGAAAACATCAGCAAGCCATTGGTGTAGTCTATGAAGCAATTCCATTTCAGTGCAACATATTCTTTAATTTTTTTTACAGTGCCACCAAAATAAGTTTTCCTTCAATTACTTTCAACTGAATGAACTATGTTGAACTGCAGAAAGAGACAGAAACATATTTGTCCTAACATACTCTGTCATTGCAGTGAGAAGGCATTAAATAAACTCTGTTGACCCCATCATTTGTATTCAGCCTTCCAATTTTTTTTATGATTCTACTTTAATTGAATATTATTGTCAGAGAGGTAGTCAGCAAATTGGATAAAACATAGATAAATCGGAGAACTTAATAGAATGTATATCATTCCCTGACTTTCACAATGGGTTTGGGGCTATAATAAGGTTCAGTTCATGATAGATTGTAATTTTACTGAACACACAGGAAGGCTTTTCAATGCTAAACCTGTCAACCAAAGCACAACTGAAAATAAAGAAACCACTTTTAAAAGGCAGCACTGATGTTATCAGTTATTATGCTACACACCTCCAGAATAGAGGACGGGAGAAATTGGAACTGTTTTCACTGCAATAGAGACTGTTGCCAGGAGACCTGATAGATTCGTTCAAAATTATAAAAGGGATTTTGAAAAGGGAAATGGGAAGAAATTATTTCTGATGATCGGTGAATTGGTAACAGGAGGACATCAATTAAGATCATTACTAAAAAATTATAAAGGGAGAGGTGTGGAGATCCATTTTACATCAGAGGATTTTTAGAGCACAGAATGGCCAATCAAAATGATGGCTGAAGCAAAAAACAAGTAGCACTCTCTCCCGGGTCAAACAGTTGTGGATTTAGTGACCAAATTATTATTGTATTTTTTTAAGGATTATTATCCCTGGAAAAGTGGAGTCCTGTAGCTCAGTGGTTAGAGCACTCGCTTTGCAAGCGAGAGACCTGAGTTCAATTCCAAGCAGAGGTCGAAACCTTGGGCAAGTTTCCTTACTCCACACGCCTAATAATAATCCCTCCAAAACCAAAAACAATAATAAATTGGTTATTTTCAATCTATGACTGTTTGTGGGACATTGCTGTGCGCAATTGGCTGCCGCGTTCGCCCACAAATATACAGTCAATTCACTTTACAGTGTGCTGTGTGAAGCGCTTTGGGACGTCCGCCCGACATGAAAAGCGCTATATCAAATGCAAGGATTATTATTATTATTATTATTAAAAGCAATCCGCCAATCTCCTGTGTCTTGAGTGCCCTTGTTGGAGATCTAACGTAATGGCTCAGAGGCAGTTATAAGGGGGAAGATCACCACTATGAGTGACCCATCACTTAAATTTGTCATGTATTTGTTGAACTTCTGATGCTAAACAAAAGACCTTATTTCTATCAAACATAGGTTGAGGGCTCCATGCATCT